GGGGTTCTTTCTTTTGCCTTCTGTCCAGTTTTACTTTTACTTGTGAGAGTTACTAATCTTTGAAACTAAATTAGATTAACTTTTTTTATTATTTTAAAATTTAAATTTAAATATTTGAAAACTATACAAAAAGTATTATAAATTTAAACTATACAAAAAATGTTATAATTTGTAATTCGTCTCATATTATGGTGAAAATATACATGTTAAAATGTTAGCTAAAGTATATATTGCTTGACACTCTAAAAGTAAAATATGACAAATAAAAGTAAACAGAAGAGGTAATTATGTAAATTACTTAGGTAGTCCATTAGGAAAGGCTATGAAAAATCTTTAGGGGTCTAGGATCTATAGGTAGGTGAAATTAAATGTATTTAGTACACGAAAAAAATACTTTAAGAAATAAAGGAAAATAATAAAGGTGCTACTTATATGGAGAAAAGAAAAGAATTTTCCTAGTTGAGGAAAGGGGTATCGTGATCAATTTGGGACCCATACCCTAAAATATCTTATTAAAGTTGATATTAACGTCCTAGTCTATCAATATCCTATATTTGAACTTGGTATCTAGCCTTGAGCATTAGTGATTAATCTAGTATTTTTCTGTTATGTAAAAGTCAACTGTGCATTGACTCGTTTAGCCATTAATTTTTAGCTAAACATAATTAGTGATATTATTTTGTGATCTCCTTTTCAGTCTATTTTTTTTCTTATGAAGCTATTGGTCCGATCTCTTAGGATCGTTTGGTACGAGGGATAAGACGTAGATTAAATTTATATCGTTTTTGGTTGGTGGTATAAATTTATCCCAAAATAAATTTGGATAAATTTATATCGTCAACCAAATAAGATATAAATATAATCTCATACTTAATATAAAATATCTTATCTTATCCCACTTTATCTCATCAAATTTGGGATTATTATATCCCATCTCCCTTGTAATATAAATTAGTCATGAAATTATAATCTCTAAATTATAATTTCAGAATAATTTGGTTCGCGTACCAAACAAACCCTTAATGTTTACTCGGGAAAGAAAGGTCTCTGACGTACAATGTGGCTTTTGCCGGACTTGCAAGTAAGTAAATATTCAAATATTTTGATTGAAGTTGAAAAGAAAAAGAACTTTTAAAGTTGAGGTTTAAAAAGAGTATGTGTTTGTACATAAATTTTATTTGGAAACAAATTTAAAAATTTGTGAGTAAACTCATTATTTCACTTGAAATAACTTTCAAACAAGTTTTTTAATATTTTATTAATATATGAAAAACAGAAGTTCAATATTTACAAATACTAATTATCAAATATATTTGCAAGTACTGAAATATTTATTATTTGTCGTCTTTCGTGGTTTCTTTTGAATTTATTGTAGGTTGTTAATGTATCATTAATAGAGGCGGACCTAGAGCATTAAATGCGGGTTTTCGAGAACCCAGTAATTATTGCATAGACGTTGTATTTATATTAAGAAACTCATCAAATATTTGTAAATATCTAACTGTGAACTCAATTATTATTGCCTATTAATTTGAAATTACAGTAGGAATCCATAAGCCTCAAATCCTGAATCCGCCTATCATTAACTTGAAGTATCTTTCAAGCAAAAATCTTTCCTAATTTATGTTTCCAATTTTTCTCTATTCCCCCGCCCCGCTCTCCCCTTCCCCCCTTCCTTGTACTAATGTTACGGTACAGTGGCAGACATATTGAAAGAGTGGTATTCAGCCTCATATTTCTCCTTTGGCTGAAGGGCTAACCAACTAATCTGTGAGACACTAGTTTTATTCTATTTAATAAATATCTTTAAAACAACAATATGGTGCCTAGAAATAATAAGATGTCCCTGCTGATTCCAACAGAGTCCCAGTTACAGATCCAGTCGATACTAACTCGCAGGTGGACATCAACGTCAACCTACCTATCAACCCCGAGAACAATGTTCGCGGAGGAGCCCGACCAATGGCTCGAGAAGCGCCCGAAGGCGAAGGCAACAGAGTCGGTCTACGATTGATATTCGAAATATTGCAGGCTCAACAGATGGCGATAGCGCAGCTGCAAAATCAAAAGGGCGCCCTCAGCAGAGTCGAGCCCGAGTTGTCCCGCGAAAACACCCGAAGAAATAAGCAGATCACCGAAAGGCCAGGTGAATCTGAGCCCGGTGTCGGCCCCGAAGTAATGAAAATGCTCGAAGCATTGACGAAATAGGTGGAATCAGGTGAAAAGAAAATTGAGACAAACGACAAGAAGGTGGAAACATATAATTCCCGAGTCGATCAAATCCCAAGAGCTCCCCCCAATATTGAAAGGCCCGGATGATCCACGTCCAATCCGCACTCAATAGTGAGTGGAAATTGTCGTTGAAATAATAGTACCCAACAATAGTCGGAATCGATTTCCACGGGGAGTTTAATATGGGTGTTAGGGTATACACTTGATGAGAGAAAATGGAATAACTAAATTGTGCTTCCAAACAAAGGATTTTATTTTCTACTTCTAAATTAACTCTAATAATTATAAACTAAAGAGAAGAAACTAGAAAATGAGTGATTGTTTTTGTTGTTTTCACCAAATGGTTGAAAAGCCTAGGGGTGTGACATTCACCTAGGTGTTTGCCTAATGGGTTAAATAAGTTAACATTGTTTTATTGATAGGGGTGTATTATAGCTCTCAACTCTTAGTTACCCACTAAATACCTCTCGGTCATAGAGTAATTTTGCCCAATTTGGCTTTCTCAAGTATAAATATGTATCAAGCTAAATAGTTTATATGAGCTCAAGTCGGGTTTTCCCTATCTCTAGTTCAAACTCTTTAATTAGGCTAATCAAATCCTTAATTATCCTAATTTCTTGTTAGTCAAGCTTTCCTAGACCAGGTTCCTCTTTTTAAGTAAAGACCAGGTCAAAGGGCATGAATCAATGTTTGCAACCATTAATTCAAGATTTAAAGCATAAAAAAGTCTAAATAATCAACACCCAATCGTAAACAAGCATTAAATTAAATACCATTAAGGTTTATATACTAGGGTTGGATCACAACCCTAGTAAGAGTCTAGCAACTCGTAGTAAAAAATGAAGAAAACAAAGAAAAAATACTAATTAAACTCATATTGTAAGATTAAAATGATAAACTATGACGTTTTAATCCCAAAATGATCAGAAAATTTCCTAAAATGGAGGCAGCCCCGGGTTGTCCCATAATGGAAGGTTCAACGAGTAATGGTTCACCATCGTCCCATTCCAGCGGCCTAAGTTTGATCGTCTTAGGAAAACTTGCGAAGAAAAGAGAAAAGGTCAGTGTTACTTAAGTATGGGGTGTAATAGTAACTATTTGAGAAAAGCCTTATCAAAAGCTTGTGCCACGCGCTCGAAGTATGACATCTGCTCGCAGATGCCTTCGATCTACTTCTTGAGCCGGGGGACTGCATTGGGAACCTGAGCAATAGCTGCACAACCACAAATACTGATGGTGAGAAAGTAAACAAAGGAGACTTGAGACTTATGGAAATAATACACTCACGAGATGTATTCCACTTCTCGGGAAATGTCAAAAACTCGGGAGGGATCAAATCTTTAGTTTTTACCTGAATAAAATGCTCCTGCCAGCCTCTGTCTCGATCCTCGTCAGTGCTCGAAAAGGGAGCCTTGCTGGCCCGGCGAACGAGCTTGATTAGTCCCCCTCAAAATATCGAGGACTGTACATACGGAGTAGGTGGTCGAGGGTGAATTGAGGAGATTCGGTATTGTTCATAAAATAACATAGGAGAATCACGGTCCTCCAAAGAGACGGGTGGATTTGCCGAAGGCACACCTCACATCTTTTGCAAAAGGCCAAAACTACTTGGTCTATCGGGCCCAACATGAAGGGGTAAGTGTAAACACTTAAATACTCCTCCACATGAGTAGTAATATCGTCCTCAGACTCGAGGAATACCATGTCCTTACCTCCCCATTTACAATCCTCTCGGACTATGGGAATGGTGTCTTCGGTAATAGAGCATATATATCTCGATACCCCTTCACCCCGGTCTTTTTTGGATGAGGCCTTCTCGACTTTAAAGTAGTCTGCGATTGAACAACCCTACGGAATAAAGCTTTTCATGGGGGACTCTGGAGCGGCTTCGGTAGCAATTACTTTGGGAGCAACCACCTCGGGAGTAGCCGTGTCGAGAGCAACCACCTCAGGAGCTGTCATCTCGGTACATGTGCCTGCATGGGAAGATGAAGAGGCAGCCTGCTGAGAAACTGATTTAGAAGTCTTAGCCATCATGATCTGGAAAATAAGAAGATTTGAAGGGAATATATGAAGGTTTGAAGAAAGGTATAAAGATTTGAAGGAAAACGTATGAAGGTTTGAAGGTAGGATGAAAATCTGGGTAGAAACCTAAGAACAATTATGAAGATTTGAAGATCAAAGATAAAGAGATGAAGATTTGAAAGAGTTGATAGCCGCTAGAGAATTCGAAGATAAAAGCCAAGATCGAAAAATGGAAAAAGTACAAAAGGTCGAAGCTTTTATAGGAGAAAATGTATTTAATACGCGACGTTTCACATTTGGAGGAGACCAACCGATGATTGACACGTGTCCGAAGTTAGAACGATGCAACTGATGGGACGTTTCAACTTTTTAGTCATCTCGATTGTAGCGTACGAAGGAAGGAACGAGATTCATCTATCGTTTTCCATCGTTTCGGTGAACCTACTCTCTTAGAAACGAGAGGACTATCTGTTAGGGATGGACATAAAATCCGAAAAACCAAATTCTGAACCGAACCGAATTAATTTTGTATTTCGATTTTAATTTTTTCGGTATTTCGATACAAAAATTACGGTATTTTAGTACGGTATACAGTATTGAGTTTTTGATATTTCAGTATATCGAAATACCGAAATATAGAAATATTTAAGTCCAAGCCCAACTATATTTTTGTTTTCCAGCCCAATAACTAGCCTTAGCCCAACACCCCAAGCCCCTAATTCCCTAATCCCTTAGCGCTCAAGCAGACTAATGGGCCGTACCTGCTTACCCATTTTCCCCTTTCTATTTTTCTAACCCTAGACTGCTTTGCTGTTGCTGATTCACGACTACAATAGCAGAGGGCGACAACGACTTCACGACCTCGGCGAGCGGCAACGACGGCTCCTCTCCTCGGCATTGTTGACCTTCATTCAGGTTCATAACTTCTTCATTCTTCAATGTTGAGGTTTTATGTAATTCTTCAACTGCTTCTTTTATCCTTTTTCACCTTATGATTTCATTGGGTGGTTGGGTGGGTAAAGATACTTGTTTTATGATTTGGAGCTATAATTTTTTGGATTTAAACCCAAGCTACCCTACTTAGTGAACACTGCTCGGCTATAATCTGTTCTAGAAAGGGTTAACTTGTTTGTAAAATTAAGTGTTCAGTTTTTCTATATGGTAAAATTAATTGGGTTAAGTGTTCTGTTTTCTGTTCTTTTCAATAGTACTCGAAGGCATATTTTTGACCAACTTTGTTACTTACTAGTACTAAGTTATGTTTTTAATTGGTGTTGTTCTATTTTTAGCGGGTTGGCCATTGGAGGGGTTTTGTTTTTAATTGGTTTTGTTTTAGTACTAAGTGTTCTATTTATTTTTAATTGGTCTTGTTCATTAAATTAAGTCTTAAATTTAACGATGGTAGATTGACTGATGAATATAGTAGTTCTATGATTTCTGCATTGCTTCAAAAACTGAGAAGTGAGAAACATTCATATTGTTTAACTTTCTGTTAAATTACATGCTTATTTAAGTGGGAGTTCTTCATTGTTATGTGCAAATTAAGTGTTCTGTGCATCTAGTGGGACAGTGGGAGTGTTATAACTTATAATTGCATCATTAATAGGGATGGTGTAATACCGAAATCGTATCGAATCGTACCGAACCAAATAAGAAAATACAGAACTGTACCGAACTACTTTGGTACGGTATTTGATATGCACAATTGATATACCGAATGCCGAAGTACCAAACCGTAATTCATAAATATCGTACCGAATTCCCACCCCTACTATCTGTATACGGGTAACCTCGGGGTCAACATATACCTCGAGTTCTCGATGAGTCAAACGAAGTAAGAAGTATGAATGTATGAGATAGAGACTGCATTTGAGAATTCTTTGAATCGAGGCCGGAATGAGGTGCTCGCCGCCTGGCCTAACAAGACAACACCCCCGAACGAGCTCAAGACCTCAGAAAGCACTACAAACGGTTGCACACGACTAACAGAGGGCCGTGATCGCACTCAACCGAGTATTACGGCGTGGATCTCACCCGACGTCGATAGCTTATCAGTGATTGATGTACAAGGAGGATTTTTACCTTTTTTAGAATTCTGGTAAAATTCCCCTACTATATAAAGGGGAAGTTTCTTATTCAATAGACACATTGTATCACGAAAGATTCTTATTTTAATCATAGTTCTTCATACACACTTGGCTTCGAATATTGTTCAGTTTAGATCCGAGCTCAGACTCAACATCACAACTGGTTTGGTTATTTATTTTATCTTTAATTCGTTTATCTAACATTCTTAATTATTTGTGTTGGATCAGTCCACATATCCTTAAAATTGCTTACAAATTTAATTTTTATCCATTTTAAGAGTATATATATATATATATATATATATATATATATATATATATATTATTTGTGCATGTTATTCTTGTGCAGAGGTCACGCTTATCTTCTGTGAACCGTCTATATCATTATAACCATTTGGTAGGGATATATAGTTTTAATCCATTTGATTGGATGGTCCATCATATAAAATGTTAGGCACTCATTATGCGAGGTTGAACTATTTTTATTAATTACCCACGTTTGTCAAATTCTAAATAATTATTACCTCTGACATAACATAAACCGAACTCAGTTAATAATTACTACTCCTATCATTTAGGTAGATTGACTTATTAAATAGACAATCATTCTTTCATTAAATTTTATTAGTGGGATCTTTTTTACATATCTTGATTTGAATTTTTTATTATTTTTTGTTAAATGTTAATACTGTATTTGTTTTTTAGAATACTTACATAGCAAACAACAACAACTTGTAAAGCAAATACTCCAGTAGAGAAAACACTAATATATCAATTGATCAATGCCAATGAGACATCATTCAGTAATATAAAAGATCAAGTTGACCAAGTTATAATTTATTCCAGTAGTACCAGCGCGAAATTTCTACACAATATTTGTGGATTCAATTTTCACGGTTGTAGCTATTGGGAATATAACTAATGACCTTACAAAAGTTTTGAATTCCCTTGACCATTAAGCTATGCTTTGGTTATGTCAAAGATATTCAAAACATAATATATAAAGGTAAAAAACAGATTTTGCCTTACATATACAGTGTAATTTTTTGACGAACGGGGTTCGGGTGAACACCCTTCCGCCCCCTTAATCCGCCCCTGCTTTCCTCCCATGTAATAAGAAAAAATTGAAGAGAATGCTAATTTAAAGATAATATGGTCAATTTCATTGTTAATTAATGTTAAAAGATGGATTCTTCTGAACCGGAGGAAGTTTCACAACTATCCAGTATTTAATAACTAGTTAAGGTAACCCGTGCTACGCACGTGCCCAATAATACTACTAAATGTTGAAGTCAAAATAGCAGGGCTTAGCAACTTTTCAGACGGATAATTAAAAAATAGTTGGCATTTACAAAGAAAAATAACCACTATTTTATGCGAAGATAAACTCCTAATAAAAATACCTTAACTGAAATACGACAAGTTCCAGCATAATATGCTCCAACATAATATGCTAGATTTTGGAGCTCTTGCGTATAAACTTATAGCATATTATGTTGAAATTTCAGCATTCTCATATGTAAAAAAATTTGAACTCCTACATATTATGTGACAAAAATTTAATTAGCAATTGAATGATTTTTTTTCTCAACGTTGAAGTGTAATTTCAGTCTCATTATTAAAAAAAAAGACTCTTATATTAGAGTTCATCGACGACCAGTAAATATTCCAAAATCACTCAAAATCATTCATAAAATAGAAATATCATAATTTTACTTGAATATGAACGGTAGAATGTCATTGTTAGTTAAAAGGTAATTATTGTATATTACTGTAAGATATTTGAACCCCTTTTTCCTCATTCAGTAAAATTTTGTAAAAGAATTCCCCCCTAAATTACTTCTAATTATTTTGACTCTAACTTCTATAATACGAAGTATAGTTTTGTTTCAAAATATGTTGACCTCATTTTATTTTTTGTATAAGTTATTGTTCCTATTCTACTTGTAATGTGTATATCAATATAAGAAAACTTATACAAAAAAATTATTTGCAATTCTTTTAGATCTACCAAGTGTAAATTATTTTACCAAAGTTTGCTAATTTATGATTCGGAATAGAAAAGGTATATAATATTTCACTCCAAAGTATTTTTCTTGTTCATAAAAGATCCTTTTAATGATAGTTGTTTATGGTTTCTCAAACACAACTACACAAGTTATCCACCAATTAGTGTCATCAATATTTCTTAAAATAATGAACGGTTTACTTTCTTCAATTTTTTTATACCATTTACCTATATAAAGAATTCCACGTTCTAATTAGATCATTCTAATAGTTATAGCTTATGCACTTAGAAGTTTATTTTATTGATTTGTCTATTCATATTATAGGATCACCTTTTTTGTTCATTGAACTTATGATATTAACTTAATATAATTATAGAATTTTACTCTAGAAATAAAAAATAGATAATTGGTGCAATTTAGTTTAGATTTATAGCTACCAGCAAAATAATCACTTTGTATTTGCAAGTATTTTATTGTACTCAAGGGGAAGTTGTAGTACATTACAAATGTTATATAATCTTTGATAGGAGGTTCACAAAAATAATACTATGAATCTTGTAAAAATAACACTAAAGGATTTTTGTAGAATCAATTTTGTTTATAAGAGGGTCATTTGCTCAGTCAAAGAGGAAATAGGTTAATTTAGTAGCAATTATTTATAAACTAAGGGAGTTAATGGAATTTTACAATTAATCTAAGATACATGTGTAACAAACAATTAAGGAAAATGAGGTCCAAAGAAGAGTATAGGGTTGTGTAGGGTAGGGGCTCATTGTTTGGGAAGGGAATCTATTTTGTCATATGTGATAAAAACGGATGCTGACAACATAAGTTGAGGGATAAATTGGTCACTACAATCATAAATTCTACCGTAAATCCTTTTTTAAGCTAATTACAGAATTACCCTCCTGGGCCAAGGCCAGCTTTTAAGCTAACAGCTGAAGCTGAAGCACACATGTTGGTTGACCTCAAGCTACTCAAACTGTGGCTTATATATAAGTAGAAAACATTACAAAATATTAATAGCATTAATGAATTAACAAAAGCAGCAACAAAATATTTACATTCCAATCCATAATGGAATCGTAGACCGTAAATCACGCTTGTACCAATCCTTTCCTATTTTATAGCTAATAAAAAAATATTGCTCCAATTTTGGCCAAATGACTTATTCTTAATTTGTTGTAACGATTCCTTCCATACATGGACTGATCTTTAATTTTCTACCATCAAAATCTAGTAAAAATAATATTTTTTGGTATTAAATCTACAACTTTGTCTCTATTATACAACTTATTTATTTTTTTGTTTACCTTATACATCCTGTATATCATGAAAATTTATATAGTACAGGTAGAGGCGGACCCATGTGTATGGGTGAGGGGTCATCGGACCCCGTAAACTACAGATGAAATCTTGTATATATACACGTATATACCTTGAAAATAGTAAATTTAAAGCAGTTGGCACCCTGAATACTAGAAGCATTTAGGGGGCACTGGTTGAACAGAATAATATGTCTCCGTGGCGTAAAAATTCTGTGTCCGCCTCTGAGCACATGAAATGTAATGTTATATATGTGGTATATGTACATTGTAAACCATGCATGCTTATTCACTCACATATGATATAATTTACCATAAACCATGTATGGTATAATAAAAAATCTTAGGAATATCATTATGTATAATTAACAATAACGTATAATTTTAGGATAAATTAGGTATGTTATTTGTAATACGTTATATATTGACTTATTCTGTGCTTCATGTATATTTATTTTATATATGTAGGATAAATAATACCACATATATATTTACTAGCAGGTTAGCCCGGGCCCAATAGTTGTTTAAAGATGTTACAAAAAGCAACAATAAGCAAAATAAAAGAAGTAACAACATTCCACAATAACCAAATATGAGCTAAGTTAAGCTGTTGAGCTTGAACATTTATTCTATAGGAACATCCGTAGTAGTCCTAAGTGACAGATATTTGATAAACTCTTACTGAAAGATAGTATCAAAATATAATAATTGTTTTCGTACACAATTAAAAAAATAGCATGGAAGTTCAACTATTGGGTCATCACTTATTTTAAAAGTAAATTCTGCGTTTTGAGACCTTAAAAACCACTTTCGGCATCACCTCGATTTGCGTGTGCAGTCGGGCGCGTAGCCGGAAAGCCATTTTGTGAAAATCTGTGAAAAATGATGAATTTTGCATTTAAAATGAGTTTAAGTTGACTTTAGTCAATATTTTGGGTAAACGGACCCGGACCCGTAATTGGACGGTCCCGGAGGGTCCGTAGGAAAATATGGGACTTGGGCGTATGCCCGGAATCGAATTTCGAGGTCCCAAGCCCGAGAAATGAATTTTTAAAGAAAATTATTTTCTGAAATTATTTATGAGTTGGAGAAATGAATTGTGATTAAAACTTAATGGTATCGGGCTCGTATTTTGGTTCCGGCGCCCGGTACAAGTCTTATATGTGATTTAAGGTAAGTCTGTGAAATTTGGTAAGAAACGGACTTGAAACGACGTGAATCGGACCGTTTTTGAGAAAATTGAAAATTTGAAGTTCTTAAGAAAATTTCATGATTTGACGCTAAATTCATAGTTGTTGATGTTATTTTAGTGATTTGAACACACGAACGAGTCTGTATGATGTTTTTAGGTTGGTGTGCATGTTTGGTTTGGTGCCCCGAGGGCTCGAGTGAGTTTTGGATAGGCCACGAGGTGGACTCTGGACTTGGTAAATTGCAGTTTTTTTGGCTGTGCGAAGCCTGGCTCGCAAATGCGAAGGCTGAGTCGCAAATGCGAAACAACCCAGGCCAGCTCTTCCTCGTAAATGCGAGATTTGCTTCGCAAATGCGATACGCCCCTTTTGGGCCTGTTATCGCAAATGCGATCCTTTGTTCGCATTTCCCAACTCGCAAATGCGAGAACCATTTCGCAAATGCGAACATAGTAGAGGATTGCGAACCCTGATCGCAATTCACCTATCTGTAACCTGCAATTTTATAACTCAACCGAAAATCTCCCATTTTTCACACTCTTTCAAAACCAAAACGCTCTTGGGCGATTTTTCAAAGACAA